TAATTTTATGTTAATTGAATTTTACTGCAGTTTTTAAAAAATGATATATTGTGAATGGACTGCGATAAAGGGCACAAGTGGAATAAGATGTGGGACAAGGCATCAGTCTGAATGTCCTAAGCCTCTTCTATATGCCTATTGGTGTTCTCCCAACCCAATCCTATTCTTATTAAATCTAGATTTGTTTGTTTGGACACCTATTTTTGTCTCATTGGATGCAACTGGTGACAATAGAATATTGAGAGGAAAAGCCTTCAGGTATAAAGGGGGTAAATCTAAAATTAGGTAATTAATCCTTTTGTATTTTTCTATTCTTTCTGAAATTTGTTTCAAATTTTTAATCTTGGGAGGCTTTTCCATGCAGAGAAATAAGATCTAATGTCCAGATTTCCAGAGCAGGTAGAACTTAAACCCAATGCTAGGTTTGGACTTAAGTTGTTATAATGTACGGAAATTAATTCAGATAATAAAATAGACTAAATAAGCACTAAACACATAACCCATGTCATGGCACCATTCCATCTCAGGTCTCTTGGTAGTTAAATCCCTTAGGATAGTCATGAGACAATCAAAGCCAGAGAACCAATGAAACCAGATGTTAAAAATAGCCAGTTTCCCTCTAGCGTCTGACCCGATTAAAATGCACAACGAAAAAGAATAGCATGATCTCTATCAAGGAAAACACCAGGAAGTGGTTTCAAAAATTGCTCTTTACACAGAAGGATCCTGGAGTCAAACGCAAAGATGGAGCCTCAGACTTCTGGAAGATTGGTTTTAGGATCCTGGAGCTGAGGCTCCACAGCTGATGGCTGAGGAAATAAATATGACGCCATTCAGGTCTCAGGACTGAGGGGAGAATGTGAGCGACGCGTGCATTGGGCGGCTTTGCTGGGCTTGGGGATCTTCAAAGTAAGGCTATGCTTCCCTGATATCCAGGCAAGACACCAGAACCCACTGCTGCTGCCTGAGAAGGAGGTTATCCTGATCTGGGATCCGCCAAGATCTCGCATGCCTTTGCTCCCTGGACCGCTGCGGAACCCCTGCCCCGCCCCCCCACCTCTGCTTCTCCTCCACCCCCACCCTCACCCCGCCCAAACCTGAAGTAACCGAGGAAATAGTTTGGGTCTTTCCGCAAAACTCTTCCCCAGGGCTGGGGTCGTCCTAGCAACAAGAAGTGGTGTGTGTGTTAGTGTAAATAAACCGATCAGGAAAACAGATACAGTGCCTGGGTTCGGCATGAGCCCCTTCCCCTCCCCAAGTCCAAGGTGGACACAAAGCCTTGTCCTTTCCCATTCTTGTACTTGAAATAGCTGAAGGCAAGGATGACGGGCCAGAAGATATATTTCACAGAAAGGTCATTTTAATAATAGCCAATTCTGCTTGTGTTGCAGGTGTTTTCTGGGTGTGCTTTTATGTCACATGTTGTATGATATTGGGTGCATATCATGGTATATATGCATATACTTATACATACACATATACATATATCTGTGTGTGTGGTTTCCACCCTGGCAATTCCACTCGAAGAAGGCAACATGAACAAAGCCAAGGCCTACCTGCTTCGTTTAAATGCAGTGACTATTCTGGATCATTGCTGAGGAACGCTCTGCTCCATACTTCAGACAGCACTAAATTAAGAGGTTCCCTTTCAGTGTTGAGGTGGGGTTCTCTCAAGGATGCTGAAGGTGACAAAATACACTTGAAGGTGTGATTGTCAGCTCTGAGCTGGGGAAGAAGCGATAACACACTCTCCAGGCCTGGCAATGGGGGAGGACAAGGGAGCAGGGCCTCCAGCTGGCTTAGAGGGAGTCTCTGCTTGTGTTACCTTTGAAGAGGCAGGATCCTCTAGAATGGTTTCTATCCCCACGCCCCCTCCACAAAAGGGAAGGAGTGAACGGAACTTGGAGAGTACCAGATGAATGCCCGGCTCCCACTTCTCCAATAAAGCCCTGTGAGTAACCTCCTAGGAAGTTCACCTTAAAGAGTCCTCTGTTGTGCCTGAGCTGTCACCCTGAATGGGGCTCTGGCCTGCCTTGAAACACACTGTTCTCTTCTTAGGGACCTGCCCCACCGTGTCTTGCATATCTATCTGTATCCAGTGGACAAGGGGTGAGGGTGGGGGTGCTAGGGATTGCAGGTGTGGGAATTGGGGGGCTGAGGTGTAGGAGGCAGGGTGGGTCTGTTCAGTTTGATTGGCATTTTCTTAGTAATTTCCATCAATTTTACTAGCCCCATGTGACACACAAAACAAATATACAGAGAATTCACAAGTTTATTGAAACTACAAAATAATATGCCCTAAAAGAGTGGGTCAGTGACTTTGTACTTTTATTTAATACACTGAACAGGTTATTTATTTAACTGCTATTGATGGTGAGGTATACAGAATTTGAAACTGGCTCAAAGCCTTTGAAAAAAAGGTCACAGAGACAATTTGTTAGAAAATGGGGGCTACAAAAGGACCATTCGGGGTAAGGAACCAGGCCCAGCCACATGGGGGCGGGCGCCAGGGAGGCAAAGGTGCAGGAAGCAAGGGCGGAGGAGGCAAGAACAACGGCGGAAAGGGCGGTATGAGCGGCAGAGGCGGCCACAGGGGCAGTGGAACCGGCACACATGTCCAAACTGGCTGCGGAATACGGATGGCACTGAAGGGTCTACCCGAGGTTTCGACGACATGGGGGCCCAGCGCCACGGAGCGCATATTTCTCAACATTAATACCCTCTGTTGTCTCCTCCACCTGGACCTCCTTTTCTTAAACCAAACCTTCAATCAGAGAGAAAAAGGGATTGGGTGAGTACATTGAACATTCAATGTCATACATGAAAAAAGACAGTAGGCAACTAACTCCCTATACCCTTAAGATTTTAAATTGCATCAGAGAAAGCTATTTCCTTCTTGCTAAAATATCAGGGAACTTTCCACCACGGCCTTTCCTTCAGTTCACCCACAGCAAGCACCAACTATGTGCCAGGCTATGGCTTGGCTTATTGCTTTCCTTTGCCTCCCACCTTTAGTCCTATTTGTCTCCACTCTTAGGTGCAGGTGAAGCTGAGGAATTGCTCTCTGTGCCTGCTGTTATTGCTATGCCTGGTATGTCTGTGTACTGTAGGAGAGCAGAACATAGTAAAAAATGGGTGTCTTTTAAAATCATGCTGAGGGGAACAGCCCCCATTTTGAAAAGGCCATCGTCAGTGTAAAGAGTCAATAGGAGACTTTGGGATTTTTAAACAAAAGCTTTCCTTCAAGGATGCCTAAAGGGTCATTCATCATCTGAAACCCTTTAGTAATTAAAAAGGTGGTATTGTGAGAGAGGCTTGCTCATGGGGGTCCCAGGGAGTTTGTGGCCTGTTTTGCTGGGACACAAGTATAGCTGAAGCCCTGGATGCTGCCTTCATATTTCAGACATTTGAGGTAATGAATGTTTAGACTAACTCGGCCCAAATTTACTAAAAGCTCTTAAAATCTTTGCCCAGCCAAGAGTTTGAAGGGAAAGAGGCAAAAGTAAATTGTCACTGCTGTCATTCTGCATGTTCCCCCAAACCTTCCTGGGCTCAAGACCAAGTCAGCTCACTCTGCTCAGGCTACAGATCCAGGACTCTGGACTGGAGCCACTGAGGTCCAGGATGGTGGATCTCCCTAAGGCCTACTATTGAGCCAGGAGGTCCCCATCCTATCCCTCATTCTTAAGACAAAAAGGTGGAACAGGCATTTTAGGTGAGGGGTCACAAAATGATGCCTCCCTAGCTATCTGCCAACTATTTTTGCAAATAAACAAAACTGCCAGTTAGACTTCACTGTTCTCGGAGTCATTGTTAATGGGGTTTACATTGTATTTAAATCTTCTTGGATGTTTACAAAGTACACATTTTAAGTGACACAAAGGGCCTTCTGTTGCTGCTCCTCGCTTCATTTTCCCTCTTTCATCTTAGAATTTGGGTCCTTCTGCTGCAAGAATATGTAGTCTAAAAACGCCTCTGTAATTGAGTGATTTTGGGGGGCTGGGGGATCCAAGTGTACCCATGGTCAAATCTACATAAACACAGCCAAAACACAAATTGGGTTTACTAAGGTATAGGCTGATACTAGTTTTATATTTTCAATGCTGGTTTCATAAAACAAGTCTTACTGTATTTGCAAAATAGATGGGGAGAGGGGAACCTCCATTAAAATTTTCTTTGGACAAATACTGTATGATCTCACGTATATGTGGAGTCTTATTTAAAAAACAAAACAAAACGACACCACCAAACTCAGAAAAAGATCAGATTTGTGGTTAGTGGGGGGGGGCAGGAGAAGTTGGAGAAAGGTGGTCAAAAGGTACAAAGTTCCAGTTATAAGATAAATAAGTCCTGGGGATGTAATGTACAACACGGTGACTACAGTTGACACTGCTCTATGGTATACATGAAAGCTGTTAAGAGAGTAAATCCTAAGAATTGTCATCACAGGGGGAAAAAAACCACATTTTTTTCACTTTTTGTTTTTGTCTGTGTGACATGATGAATGTTAACTAAACATATTGTAGTAATCATTTCACAATATATTTAGGTCAAATCATTATGCTACATACCTTAAACTTATACAGAGCTGTAATATCAATTATATCTCAATAAACTGGGGAAATTTATCGGAGGGATTCATGCTGCAGAATTTGAAAATCAGTGAGAAAATATTCTTTTTTGTTTTTTTTAAAAGATTTTTATTGGGGAATTGGGGGAAGGGGAACAGACAAGTTGCTCTCCTTTTGTTCTTCAGTCTAGTTGTGGAGGACATTGCTTCACTGGCCCAAGTTAGCACCATCACTGCCCTTTGGGGGTCAAACGACCCTTTCACAGGGGTTGCCCAGGTACTCGTATGTGGGCGTATCTGCATGTGGGTGGACCCGCCTGGAGATGGATAGAGGAGCAGTGTCTCGGTTCCTAAGACCATCGAAATATGTGTTTTCTGATGGTCTTAGGCGACCCCTGTGAAAGGTGGAGAAACGCTGCTTTAGAGCCCTATTGAGAGCATGATGCAAACCCATGGATGGGCCGAGAGCAAGTCACCAAAACTGAAGTGTTTCTTTTCCTCTGTGCTGGCTTTGCCTATGGGCGAAACCAGAGGCCTGGTCTTCGCAAGCCCTGGCCAGCCTTGACTGTGAGCGCTGACTGTGAGCCCAGCCTATGGCCTTAGGATGCCAGCACTCAGTGGCCTGATTGGTTGGGCTGCTTTTCAGACAGCTCATCACTACAACTGTAGCCCCTTTCCATCACTACACTCACGCACACTCTGCAGCAAAGCCAATAAACCCACACTGATTTTTCTCTCTCTCTTTCTATTTCTCCCACCCCCATTATTGTTTGATACTACTTAGGTTTTTCTATGATCTCAGGAAATCAGCTCTTGATCCATTGATCCATAAGTTAGTCATCATTGACTGAGCAAATGAAAAAGTATTTCAAATTACCACAGGTAAGAATCCAGCCTGAACAGAGAGCCAATCCCCACTACTAAAAAACTCCACACAAGCCATCTCTTCACAATAGTACCACAGGAAGAAAAAAAAATACCCTAGGCATTGGAAATTCCTTAAGAGAATATTCACTAATGCATTTGGTAGTTTCTAAAATTTGACTGTGTGTGGTATCCCCAAGGCATGTGTTCAACTTTACATTATTCTTGCCTAACACTTCTGCCTATCTTAAGTCGGTGGAACTCTGAAATTGCTGTTTTAGTTTGTTTCCTTTTTTAGACATATTTCAAAGGTTGCAACTCCCCTTCTCATCTCCACCATAATGCACAGCCTATTATGTTAGCAGTGCTTCTAGGATGACATATCAAAGTATTCCAGAAAATTAAAATTTAGGGCCTCCACTCTCTATACTGCTTTACCAAACCCTTAAAAAGAACATCAGGAGGACCAGGCACTTGGACTTGGGGACCACTCAACTTAACTAAACAGACATTAGTTGCTCATCTGTTCTAATGTGTTCATCATCATGTGTTCTAATGTGTAAATTATTCCCTTCTGCCAATGCCTAAATATTTATAAATTCACCCCTTGTGCAATGATTTTATGCTTGGCTTTAAATAATTATATATAATTGAACTCCTTAGTGTATTAATTTGAATAATTTCCACTTCACACTTCACCCCAGTGTGACCTCACACAGAAGTGTTATCTCAAGGATACCAGTGTTAGAGGAGTTAAACTACATAAGTGTGTGTGTGTGTGTGTACAATACACATATAATACATAGGTATATATAGGTATCGTTTATATGAAAGTATATATGTCTTTGTATACAAGGAATAGTATACTATAGTAATTTTTCAATTTGGAAATCATGTTCCCTCTGATAATGAGCAGTTTCTAAAAGCTATAGTTTATTTATCCTATTTTCTACCTACTAAGACTCCAAATTTATTTTCCAATCATCGAAAAGGCAATAAAAACACTTGAGAATGTCTAGGAAAAAGGTATGCAGGTCCTGAAGCAGGTTTTAGAATGGCTGCCCTGCCAAATGGCGTTTTTCAGGTTTACTCACCTGCACTCTGGCTTCAGACACATTCATGCGTCTTGCAATCTCCTGTCTGAGGAGAGAAAACCACAAATGTTCAGTATTCAGAGATGTGGATGGAAATTAAATATAAGATGTTATTTCATTCTCATTTAATTTTTTTTCAGGGAAATGTCAGTGATTTATTTTTTTTCCAGTGATTTATTTTATGAACCAATTTCTGTAGTAGGAAGACTCATACCATTTCAGGATTTACAGTGAAATTAGGTTGACAAAGCAGTTTTTAGAAGCCAAGTCTTATGGAGGCACAGTTCTCCAAAACACATGAAATTCTAAACCATAGTTTCTTTTAGTGTTACCATCTTTAAAGCGGCTAAATATCTCTAACTGAAAAAATCTCTCTACCAACTTTCAATCATTGCTCTTACCCATGTTACGGATTAAACTGCATGCTTAAAATAGCTTAGTCTAGGGCCCCCGAGTGGCTCAGTTGGTTAAGAGCTCGCTCAAGAGTTTGAGCTCTGAGCAACAGCGGTTCGATGCCCAGCCCGAGCTGAGCAGCCGCTGAGCTGCCAACAGGTGGCAGGATGGCTCAGCTAAAAAAAAACAGCTTAGTCTATCTATCTATCTATCTATCGCTAGCTAGCTATGTATCATCTATCTATCTATCTAATCTATCAATCATATATCCATCCATCTATCTACCTATCTATGTTGTGCAGGTTGGAGTACTTTCCTAGTAGATGCTAAAGGACCACACAAATCCTCTGCTGTTCATTCTCTGATTGTGCTGATTTTAAAAAAAAATTAAGCGGAGATCTCCGCTCCTGCTGGAGCGCCCCTGAGGCCAGAGCGGCCGCGCAGTCAGAGGCCCGCCCGCAGTGCCTTTGAAAGGCAGCTGGAGGAGGCCTGCGCCATGGCGAGCCCAGGCCGCCTGCTGTGCGTGCTGAGTCTGCACCTGTGCGAGGCGGTGAGCCTCGGGCTGTCTGCTCCCCTCGTCTCCAACTACACAAAGCCTAGCATCGGAATATTAACGCAAAAGTGCCATAGTAAGGAAATGAAAAGCCTGGGAAAATACTATATTGCTGCCTCCTATGAAAAGTACCTGGAGTCTGCAGGTGCAAGAGTTGTACCAATAAAGCTTAACCTTACAAATGAAGAATAGGAAAAGCTTTTCCAATCTCTTAATGGGGTTCTGTATCTTGGAGGAAGTGTTAGTCTCATGAAGTCAGGTTATGCCCGAGTGGCCAAAAAATTTTACAACCTTGCCATACAGAGTTTTGATGATGGATAATATTTTCCCGTGTGGGGTACATGCCTTGGATTTGAAGAGCTTTCATATCTGATTAGTGGAGAGTATTTATTAACTCACACAGACACTGTTGGAATTACAATGCTGCTGAACTTCACTGGAAGTCCAGCAAAGAGCAGAATGTTCCAGAATTTTCCTGCTGAATTGTTGCAATCGTTAGCAGTAATACCTCTGCCTGCAAATTTCCACAAGTTGAGCCTCTCCGTGATGAATTTTATGAAGAATGAAAAGTTAAAGGAGTGTTTCAAAGTTATAACTAAACATACGGATGGCAAGATTGAGTTCATCTCCACAATGGAAGGGTACAAGTAGCCAGTATATGGAGTCCGGGGCATCCAGAGAAAGCGCCTTACTAGTTGGGGAGATTCGAGGGCATTTCCCATGCACCCAATGCTGTGAAGGCTGCGTTTTATTTAGCAGAATTCTTTGTTTCTGAAGCTCAGAAAAACAATCATCGTTTTGAATCTGATGTTGAAGAGGATGAAGCACTGATTTATCAGTACCATCCCGTTTGTACTGGAAATATTTCTTCATTTCAGCAAAGTTATATATTTAGTTGAAAGCCTTTGATGGGTTAACAGAGGAATTTCAAATAACTCCATGATTAAACTGTTACCATTACTTGGTATTCATGGCAATAAAAGAAAGCCCCAGAGATTCCTTTTTTATGATGTCTCTGATTCTTCAGATTAGAAAAAATAAATTTATTGAAAATACAAAAAAAAATTTAACCACCTACTGCCCTTCCACACATATCTAGCTTGAAGCTTGCTTTTGAGACAGTTTGTTCCCAAGAGCAAAATTAAGGGGATGCAGAAAAATCACTAACCAAAATAAATAACGTTCAAATGTAGCATTTAAAAATATAAAAATCAATGCAAAAATAACCTATGATGAGCAGATTTAACAACATTTTAAATTAAGGTTGGTTCCTACTCGGATATACTCCACCATGCCTCCCTCAGGCTTCTTCTCATCCTTATCCTTGCCCTGGTTCTAACACAACATTATTTAAAATAACAGGCGCCTGTTGTAGTTTTCCGGTTTGATTCACTTAAATACTGCACAACATTATTTACCTCAAGTCCCAAAAGTCATAGCCCTCACCCCAGCCCTAGTGCAGGAGAGCTGTTCCCCTCCCAGCCTCGAGTTTTGCAGGTCACCTTTTGTTCATGAGAGAAGGAGCCGGACCTATGAGAGTGCCAACCCTGTGACACCAGCAAAGGCCAGCGCCACATGCACGCTGGAATGGCACCATCCCCTGGTGGACCGCTTACCTCATCAACAAGCTGGGATAGGCATTGCGAAAGAAAATGCACTCAAGCTCCTGCATCTGCACCTGGGTGAACATGGCGTGCTGGATCACCTGCTGCCTGTCCCCTGACTGTGGACCATGGATAATGGCCTGGAAGGGCTGTTCCTCCTGCCCCTGCTCTCTCGGTTCTTCACCACTATCGCGGCTGGCCTCATGGCGTTCAACATCCATGGGGCCTGGGGTGCCTGGGCCACCGTCGCTGCCTTCTTTGGCTTCTTCTTCATCTCTTATCTCTCGTTCTACTGCTGATGTTGCTCCCTGCTCAGGTTCTGGCTGTATACCCTTTTCCTCTTCTCCTCCCTCTCTGATTAGTGAGATCCCCTCAGGCTTCGCTTCTGCAAAAGAAGAAACCCAAGGAGAAAGAGCAGGGCGTTGTAGCCCAGGCTGTGGGAAGCAGGAGGTGAGGAGGTGAGGGGCTGCGTCTGATGGGTGTCCTGTTCATTTGCCTCCCCCAGGGAACGTTGGTTTCTTGGAGTTGGCTGAAGCACGCGTCCCGACCAGGACTAACCACGCAGTTTTTCCCGATCCTCATCCACTCCCAGGCTGAGGAAGCCGGTGACATCCTGGCTGCACTGGCGCCGAGGCTTCATGTCCTGAGTGCTGTCCGTGAGGCTGTGGCTTCTGCAGATTCTGCAACGAGGCCTCGCTCCTTCCTGAATCTAGTCAGGCTACATTGTGGCTGACTAGGCTCCCTCCGTGGGTTCATCACCAGGTCCTGGGGTGGGGCAGCCGGGGCGGGGCGTGGGAAAGCGAGACTGTTGAGGTGCACATGCGGCAGGGGGGTGGACTTCAAAAGGGAGGGTGTACTTGCAAGAGGGGCTCTGGTATGCAGCATGCATAGGGAGTATGACTTGAGGCTCCAAGTGGCAACTTAACAGACTGCTCCTGTCTTGGTGGAGCGTCTTCCCAGAGGAAGGGGTTGTGCTGGAGTTTGCAAGCTGATTTGTGGCCGGTAAGAGACAGATCTCACACGAGCTCGGGAGACATTGGAGAAAAGTTTGCAGAGCATCTCTTGGCTCAGCCTCCATACAGAGTTGCCAGTACTGAGCAGGGAATAGTAACCAAACGAATACAATTAGCTAGGGGGTTGCTTGCTGGAGCATTTGCAATGAGGCTGAAGTCAGACCTCACCATGCTTCTCGGGTCTCCAGGAACAAGAGCTCGAGGTTGCGTTTCCTGAGCATGTAAGGTGTTCAGATGCACTATGGGGGCAGGGTGAGGTTGGGGGAGGGAAACAACTCAAGCACACTTATTGAGAAAGTCCACTGGCTATAGATTTTTAGTAATGAATCCGTGTCAGATTGTAGGAGTAGAAGTCTGCACATAGTTTAGAGCCTCCAAGAATGTCCAAAGTGCAAAGGGCCTTTTATTTGCTCCTGGTTCTAACTGTGGACAATACCACTTCTGCTGTGCCTGTGACTAGAGACTGTCTTCAGACACACACTTGTTCTCTGTGCTGGGTGGGGTGCTGCACACCTTGTAGAATTCTCTCCTCCCTTTCCTGTTGCTTCCTCCTCCTTTTCCTCTACACCCTCCTTTTCCTGAGCTCTTGCTTAGAAATAAATACATTTTATTTATTGTCAAATTTTGTTTTTGACAAAAAAAAATATTTATTTGTGAAATAAAGAGAGCCAGGACAGATTGAAGGCTGTAAGAGTCTTTCTTCAGAGAGTGTTTTGTAGATGTTCCATAATGTGTTCTTATCCTAAATATCTTAAATATTAAGACTAGGCTCTAACAATGGGCCCTATGTTCGACAATGTACGTGAATTTGCGTATTTTTACTGGCACAACCACCATTGTCATCAACCCTGTTTTATATCAGAAATTAAACTATTTTCATGGGCCCTTAAATGTATCATGGACCTCAGTCATCTCATGTAGTGTGCCTAATGGATAAATGCCCCCTGCTTCATGTTCCCAAAGAATGGGTAAGAAAACAGTTTTTAAAAGCTTAGTTGACCAATTCACTTTCAAAACAATGGTCAGAGATGGCAATCGGACAGACTCTGTATGACTTTGACCAAGATGCTTTCTCCTCAGACTAGCTCTTCCAGGAGCCAAACTAACTGACATCAGAAACCTTGCTTGCTCACCACTTGCTACCTGGCTAACCTGACTTGCTTATTCTTCCTTAACCTTAATTTCCTTATCTGCACAATGGAGATAACAATAGTACCTAACTCATGGGGTTATTGTGAAGATCAATAAGGATGATTTTAAAAATCTTTGTAAATGACCATACCCTGTCACCTCCTATTTGCTACTTCCATCTTTTTAGTAATCATTTTTAGTAAGGGCCCATGAGAGGAGATAGAGATGGTTAACGTCTAAGTGTTGCCAATGAAGAGAGGATGTTTTATGTGAAAATAATGTCCCCACCATCTTTTTGTATGTGTATGTGCTTCAGACAATAAGCATATGCTGGCTGCAGCATACACAGACCAGCAATGTGGGGAAGGCCAACCTGGCCATTGTGCTGAGGGTTCTCATAATCTGGTGAGGCAGATTGGCCCACCCAAAAGCAGGAGGCCCCACAGTATGGAGGCAGACTACCCAGCCCCACTGCTGACTTGCTTTGTGACCTTGAGCAAGTTAGCTGAACACTCTGCGCCTCAGGTGCTACATCTGTAGAATGGAGATATTGGTGGTACCTGCTCTTTGGTGTTATGAACTTTGCAAGAAATTATACAAGTAAGGCCCAGGGTGACAGCTGAGACAACTTGAGCTGCTGCTATAGTTAAGGGGTCAGGACTGTGGGGCATCAGTCTGCACATGGGCCCGCACTATGATTGAAGATGCCAGGCACAGAGTGTAGCCCCTGATCCTGAGTGGATATGAGAGCCTGTGGAGTGGCGCATAACTCTGCTTGCTCATGCTGGTGAGATCCTACCGTTGCTTGCAATGCACCAGGGCCTGGCTAATCAATCTTACAGCTATCCCCTGAGGAGGGGGCCACCACTGTCTTTAGTTCCTACCAAGGAAATGGAGACTCAGGGAGGCTCAATGACTTTCCCAAGGTTACCACAGCCCAAAGGAAATTGGCCAGAAGTCAAATCTTTGAAGACACTGTTCTTAGCAGCCGGTGGTAGAAGCAGGTTCAGTTTGTGTGTGTAGTAGGCTGTCTTTTGCACCTCAGAGGACTGGTCAGCAATTGGCAGATGCTGAGCAGGCTATGAAGGGAGTCCCAGTTAAAAGAGGTAATGTGAACAGCCCCAGGAGGGGACCAGGTGCAAAGTTTTCTCAGGGAACCCCGTCACAACCAGGGTGGCCAGGAGAGTGAGCACATGTAAAGTGTAACCTTGAGAGGAAGTTGGAGGGGGAGCCTGAAGATAACACTGTAGCAGGTGAGAAATAGAGTTTAAAAGGTGGGTTGGGGTCAAACTTATGGAAGGAGTTAGAATGCCAGCATTTGGGTATGGATAACTGTAAAGGTTTTGGTCAGGGGTAGTGACTTAATGAAAGCAGTGTATTAGGATGTGTAGTAGGGTGAGAGAGTCTCTAAGGTAGAACCTGGTTGAGTTCATTGCAGTTTTGGGGGTGGGGCACATTTTCCAGACATGGGGTTCCTGATTTGGAGGCCATGGTTGGCCATCATGGAGATTGTGAGTCTATTTGAACTTGAATTGTAAAATCTGTACATACTGTAATTTTAAGAGTGTGTGCAACTTTCATCAGATAATGAAGGGGTACATGATGACATTAACCACCCCCTCCCTCAAAATACAGAAGACCAGGGATTTGAGTAAAGAAGCCAGGCTTTGGAGTTACAACACCTGAATCTGGTTTCAGTGCACAGCATTGCTCTTCTGGTACCCTCCTCATAGCAAGAACTTTGGCCCCATATTCTTGTCACAGGACACTGAGCAAGCCTCATCAGTTTCCCAACTGTGAAATAAGATGACGATTATTACTACTACTACTTGCAAAAATAAATATAGTCACCTTCCAGAATACTTTTCTTGTTGCTGTTGTTTGTTTTTTTGTCTCTGTCTGGCTAATTTCACTTAGCACAATGTCCTCTATCTAGAATCATGTACATGTATAACATGTACATGTATAACAATTTACTGAAGACGATAAATATATATGTATATATACAGGTATACTATATATGTATGTGTGTATATATATGTATATGTCTACGCACACACACAATTTTACAAAGACACTGAAAGGTTTCTGACCAATGAAGTCATGAGTTTAGAAAGAAGAAGGGTGACTGTAGGGTACATGCAAGTGTACTGAATGAGGGATCTATATCACTGCTCAGCTGAGTACTCCAGTCTTGGTGGGGTGCCTGCCCAGAGGAAAGGGCTTTGCTCCATTTGACAAGCTGATTTGGAAAGGGAAAGGAAAGGAAAGTGGGGAGACCTCACTCTGGTCTTTGCCGGAAAGCTTGAAGATGTATTTTGACCCAGCCCTTCATATCCAGCAGCCAGTAATCCCAAAGGGGTTAGTAATTAATCTGAAGTAGTTTGCTAGAGGCTGCTTGCTTTAAGCTTTGCAATGATGCCGAAATAAAAGCCTTCCATGTTACCTGGAGCTGTGGGAGCAGGATCCTGGGGCTGGGTTTGCCCAGCACTCTGGGTGGTCAAATGCATTCTGCAAGAAACCCAACGTGTTCCTTGAGAAAGTGTAAGTGCTCCAGAGTTTTAGTAATAAATCCATATCAGAGTGCAAGTGTAGGCCCCAACCCAGTGCTTAGCCCAGTGCTTAGTGCAGCTAAGAACACTTACACTGCATGAGGGCCTTTACAATTAGTGTTGTAGTGAAGAAAAAGGAGTTAATATTTGGAAAATATTTAGAACCAATGGCTGGTGCAAAGTAAGCACTATACAAGTGTTAAAGAAATAGATGTGAAATATTTATGCCCAGATATTTTCAAAGATGTACCATTCTAGACAAAAAGCATTTTAGTGATCTATGGGAGGCAGCGTTGATAGCATTGTAGAAAAGGCAATAGTTTAATTTTTTGTGTTTGTGTTTTTGAGAGAGGAAACTCCCATAAGCTCGATAAACTTATTTTGAGCATAGATTGATAGAATTGTGGAATTTCTGATTTTTGGAGAGCTTATCTTTGATTAAGTAAAATGATGGAGGTCTTTAAATAAGTTAGAAGAATTTTCAGAATGTGCCTGAGTTTAAATATCTTTACCTAGGCGAAAGAGACCTGTACTTGTGGCAAAATGGAATGTTTTTAGGACATGCAAACAGGGCTTTAAGCACAGGATTGGTCCTAGTTTTAAAAAAAAAGTGGAGGGTGTGCAGTATAGGGAGATTTACAGTAAGGGCATACCTGCTATAAATCTCCATTTGAGATTCAGGCTATCTATGGATACATAGCTTACTGGACTTGGACCCCCTTATGCATGTTACAGACTCACAATTACATAGCATCCCCCATCTCTGCCCCCAATAAGCCAAATCACAAAGAAAAACCCTAGCGAGTCTGTCATGAAGAAGTATATGGAGACACTTTCTGAGGGTGAACAAATTACAAACCCTTTATTTTTATGAAGATTTTGGGTGTTCTCTGAAGCGATGTTATATTATTTTTTAAACTTTCTGTATGTATTTACAAATGTTG